AAAAAAAAAGGTCCAATCCAAACAGGGACTTGAACAGGATCTGTTGGGCCAATTCCACTCAGGGCAGAGGGCTCAGCTCAGAGGGCCTAATCCATCCCGAAGGATTTTCTTTTGATTTTCATCAGCAAGTGCTTTCAGCCCTCTCCACTTGCAGCAAGCAAGGTCGTGTCATTGACATTTTCCGGGTTGTTCCTGAGTGTTCCTCTAATCCTGATGCCATGTTCTGAGTACAGTCCAGTTCCTCGAATTCTTGGTTCAGCATAGAGGTCAAACAAGTAGAGTGAAAGGCTACAATCCTGAAGTACACCTTTCCTGATTTTAAACTAGGCAGTCTCCCCAGGTCTGCTCAAATGACCACCTCTTGAGGTACGTACAGGTTCCGCATGAGCATCATTGAGGATTCTAGAATTTCTGTTCTTTAAAATGTCCATAATTTGTTCTGATCTATAGTTGAATGCCTTCGTGTAGTCAATAAAACACAGGTAAACATCTTTCTAGTCTTCTCTGCTTTCAGCCATGATCCACCTGACATCAATAAGTACATTCTTCGTTGCACAACTTCTTCCGAAGCTGGTTTGAATTGCTGGCAGTTTCCTGTTGATACCCTGCTGTAGCCATTAAGAAAAAAATTATCAGCAACAAAATCTTACTTTCCTCTGATATGAATAGTATTGTTCAAAAGTTTTCCCATGCTGTTGCATTTTCTCCTTTGGAGTGAGCACAAATGTGCATCTCTTCTAGTTGGTTGGCTCAGTAGCTGTCTCCCAAATTTCTTGGCATAGATTACTGAGGGCTTCCAGTGCTGCTTGTTGGCAGAGACCTCTCCATTGGCATGCCCTCAATCCCCGGAGGCTGGGTTTTCACGAATGCTTTTAGTGCAACTTGGGCTTCTTCCTTCAACACCATCAGCTCTTGATCAAATGCTGCCTCTTGAAATCATTGAATCTTGATCATTTGTTTTTGGTACAGTGACTCTAGGCATTCTTTCCATTTTTGAAAACAAGTTTATAGTGAATGGGGGAAAGATTTGCAGAGCAAATCACTTTTTCATTCAATAATTCATACATCTTTGGTTTCATAGCATTGATCACAATCCTCACAATGGAGCACCACTTCCTCCCTGCGTTCCGGTGTTCATTCCTCCTTTTGTCTTAGCACTTCCGGTTTTTGAACTCTCTCCTTGTGCAGATGCTGCCCGTCTAATCTCAAATGATTGATTGTTCTGAAGAGTGAGTACTTCCCTGGTATTATCGTTCCCCTTAGATACCTTGCTATCGTTTGACAAGAGCCTTGGTGACACAGTAGCTTAAGTATTGGACTGCTAACAGCAAGGTTGGTGGTTCAAACCCACCAGCTACTCCGTGGGAGAATAATGGGGCTGTGTGCTCCTATAAAGATTTATTTATAGTCTTTGAACCCCTGTGGAGTTCTACTTGGTCCTATAGAGGCATTCTGAGTTGCAGTCAGCATGATGGCCGTGGGTGTTTTCTGGCTGAAAACTGAGCAATGGCAGTCAGTTTAGTTCCAGGGCTAATGGGTGACTAAGGGCCATTGTCTTGGGGATTCCACCGGTTTCTATATGACCAGTAAGCTGGATCTTTTTTAATGACTGAGTATTGTTCCACATTTTTCTCCCACTCTCCCCAGGATCTTTTAATGTGATCCTTTCAGAGTGATGGGTGGTTGTAGTCGGGCACCATCTGTTTATGGCCTCAGACTTGTGGAGACTGAAATTCATGTGGTTTCTCTATCTACTGGATTCATTGTTTCCATGCCTCTCCAATTTTCCTCACTCTTCTTTGCTCTGGACAAGGAAAGGCCAATAGTTGCACCTTGGATGGCTGCTCCTGAGCTTTTAAGACCAAAGTCATTACTCACCAACGTAGGAGGCAGAACATTGTCTTTGTGGACGATGTGATGCCAGTTGACCTTGGTGTCCCCCAATATTATGGTCCTGAGCCCTCAACCAGCAACTCATTTCCACAAAGTGTTTGGTTATGACTAAGAATTTTTCATAACTTTTTCCCTGTATACACTTCTATTCATGGATGTATTTGAAGCATAGATAAACACATACATAGAACTATCCTCTGTCAAACCCATCTATATTCATGGGTATAGTCTCATTTTCCTTCCCATACCTGTTCAGCTTGCATGTTTATCTATGCATCAACAATAATGTGGATTTTAGCTACTGCATGATTGTGAATATAGTAGCATTTGTTCTTAACTCAGTCCATCTTCCTTAGCTGCTTCCCATATCTTTCAATATTTTGCTCATAATCCTTCAATATTGCAACTTGAGGTTTGATTTTTTTTTTCCTCCTTCAATTCTTTCAGCTTGAGGAATGCCAAGTATGTTCTTCCGTTTTGGTTTACTAACTCCAGGTTTTTGCTTATTTCGTTATAAGGTTTTGTCTTCTCAAGCTTCCCTTTAAAATATTCTGTTCAAATAAAATAAAATATTCTGTTCAGGTAGTTTTCAGGTTCAGCTCTTTCACCATGCTCAGCATGGGACATAAGTATGCAACAACAACTATATCATTAGTATTTTTTCTGACTCTTTGACTCTCCCTTCTTCTGCCCAAGGAAGAAATGATCAAATCAGAGGGCTCTAATCGTATTCCTGGAGAATGAGAATTGGAAGCTGATGGAGGATAGGAGGATAAGATAGAAATGAAAGAAAAAAAATTCAGGGATACCACAAAGCAAGACTTGGGTTCTAGGTTCATCTCTGCCACACATTGCTTTAGGCAAGTAATTTAGTTTTCTGGGATTCAGTTTTTTCTCTGTAAAGGGTTAGAACTTGTATATACTATAATCCAGTCAGTACATATTTGCTATGTGAATCAGTTACAGTCTCAGAAACTCACAGGGGTTGTTGTGAGTCAGCATTAACCTGATGGCAGTGAGTTTGATTTTTGGTTTGGATGGCCTAGATAAAAAGATTCCTTACTTCGTACTAGAGGCTGAGCCCCGGGATAAGATGGACCAACAGTAATCTGATTCACAGCTACAAGTATGTATTGAGCTAACTGTGGAGCTCACGTGGGAGAAGGGACAGAAATTAGAGATGTGGTGCCTGACCTCCTAGAGCTTGAGCTCTGAGGAGACATGCATACTCGCTCCATATGAGGAACAAGTATTCTAGCAAGTGGACTGGCAGTGGCTGGGGAAGCTACAGAAGGACAGAGACGATCACTTTCTTGGCATCTTGTCTGTCTCCCCACCAGCCTGTGTTGTGGGATCTGCTCCAGAGGGAGAAGAGTGTTTGGGCTCTGCAGATTCTCATGCAGGTAACAGGAGGAGGGTGGGCAGGAGGGGTAGATGGGCGGGCTGAGTGGTCCTTGTCCATCATGCCCTCCCAATTCATAGGAGTACCTGCACATGCCCCCAGAAAATCTCCAGCAGTTGGTGCTTTCAGCAGAGAGGGAGGCCGCTCAGAGCTTCTTGACCCTCATGCACCGGTCTTGGGCCCAGCTACAGGTGAGCATAGAGGGATAGGTGAACAAGGGTGGAGAGGAAGTCTAGGGATGAAGAGTATCTAGAACCTGATGTGCAAAGGGGTTGCCTCAGTGGAAGGAGGGACTTGAGGGAGATGATGGCAAGGATACTGAACCTCTCCAGAATCAGTATCTGTTCCCATGCCCACACAGGTACCACCGTCCGAGGAGCCGGCTCTGGGTCGTCTGACAGCCCTGCTGCTTCAGCAGTACCCACGTCTCACTTCGCAGCTCTTCATTGACTTGTCACCGCTCATCCCTTTCCTGGCTGTCTCTGACTTGATGCGCTTCCCACCATCCCTGTTGGCCAACGACACTGTGTACGGTCCCCACACCACCCAGCCTGCTTCTGTCACCAGTTCCTTGCTGACAGCAGCCCCTGGCTGAATTCTTTCTCTACTAAAACCAGAGAGTCTCCTTATTGCTCATGGCAGGGGGTTGCAACAGGTCAAAGGAGAGCAGTTTGGAACAGGGCCAAAGGTTAAAACCCATTTCTCTTTCTAGCCTAGCTGCTATCCGGGATTACAGCCCCGAAATGAGACCTGAACAGAAGGAGGCTCTGGCAAAGAGACTGCTGGCCCCTGAGCTGTTTGGGGAAGTGCCTGCCTGGTCCCAGGAGCTGCTGTGGGCAGTAATGCCTCTGCTTCCCCACCTCCCTTTGGAGAACTTTCTGCAGCTCAGCCCTCACCAGGTACAAGAACCCTCCTCTTTGCTTGACTCACTTCTCTTCTGCAAGATGGGAGAGAATGCAGTAGGGACCTTCCCAACAAGAGTCCTACAGTAGTTCACCATGAGTCGACCTTCCCCATCTCAGATCCAGGCCCTGGAGGATAGCTGGCCAGGGGCAGGCCTTGGCCCAGGGCATGCCCGGCATGTGCTACGCAATCTGGTGAACCAGAGTGTCCAGGATGGGGAGGAGCAGGTGCGCAGGTGAGTGGTTGTGGTATCAGGGATCCAGGTCAGGGTGGGAGAGGTAGAGAGGCAGGTGCCAGCTTTATGTCCTCCTTAGGCTGGGGTCCCTCGCCTGTTTCCTGAGCCCAGAGGAGCTGCAGAGCTTGGTACCTTTGAATGACCCAATGGGACCAGTAGAACGTGGGCTGCTGGAATGTGCGGCCAACGGGACCCTCAGCCCACAAGGACGGGTAAGCCTGTTGGCATTGACCTACAAGGGTCCATGCTGCCCCTGAAATCTATGAGGATGGACGGCTCTTCTCAATGAAACAGGCACAGGGGTCCAATCCTTGATCCCACCTCTGCCACCTCCATTTCTGACTTTCTGGCCATTCGTCTCTTCCTGGACCCATCCCATGATATATGATACTCTGAACATGCCCTTTGCCATCTAGAACCAGTTCAGGCCCTGCGAACTCCAGATGTGGGGTGAGGGAGGCGGTTCAAGGTTCTTCCGTCTTCTCTCTCCAGTTTCAAACCTTCCTTGGTTGTAGGTGGCGTATGAACTTCTGGGGGTGTTGCGCTCAGCTGGAGGAACTGTGCTGAGTCCCCCAGAGCTACGCGTCTGGGCCCCTCTCTTTCCTCAGCTGGGCCTCCGATTCCTTCAGGAACTGTCAGAGCCCCAACTCAGAGCCATGCTTCCTGCGCTGCAGGGAACCAGTATCACACCTGCCCAGGTGGGCCTACCCGTCCCACTCCCTGGCATCCACCCTCCAATCACTGGACCCCCCCCCCCAATCAAGAGACTCACACTTAGGGATGTCATTAGCCCCCCTGAGGCCTCCTTGCCTTGGGTGAGCACTGGAGGTAAATTCCACCCCTAAGAGGATCCCCTCCCCCTGCCCACCCCCTTCTCCCCCCACCCACACACCCTTCCTCAGATCAAACAAAGGGCCCTGAACCAGCCCAGTCACTGGACTGGTGGAGAGTTGTCACTCTGGGACATTTGTAGGGAGGAGCCCACTAGGAGACCTGCTGCTGACTCTTGTCCCTCTAGCATAGCGGTTCTCAACCTGTGGGTCGCGACCCCTTTGGGTGTCGAACGACCCTTTCACAGGGGTCGCCTGATTCATAACAGTAACAAAATGACAGTGATGAAGGAGCAACGAAAATAATGGCATGGTTGGGGGGTCACCAGCACATGAGGAACTGTATGAACGGGTCGCGGCCTGAGGAAGGTGGAGAACCATTGCTCTAGCGGAAGCTGGGCCAGTCCAGTAAAGAGGATGGTTTCCTTAACTGTTTGGAGGGCAAACACTAGCGATCTAGAGCTTGAGAATTATTGTTTTTGTCCCCACCCCACCCCCTCAGGCCGTCCTGCTGCTCGGACGGCTCCTCCCAAGGCATGATGTGAGTATAGTAGCTGCGACTTCTCCCTGACCTCCAGAGGTCTCCCTTTGCTCCCCTTCCCTGGCTCCCAAACCTGCCCCCTCCCTCCCTTCTGGTGCCCTCACACCTGCTGCCCTGCAGGGTCCAGTGTGTTGTCTTCCCCTCCACACCGGCCCTTTTCTTGGTGCCTCCTGTCTTTCTCCCCAGCTGTCCCTGGAAGAACTCTGCTCCCTGCACCCTCTGCTGCCGGGCCTTAGCCCGCAGACACTCCAAGCCATCCCTCGAAGAGTTTTGAGTGGAGCCTGTCCCTGCCTGGGTCCTGAACTGTCTCGCCTCTCAGCCTGCCAGACGGCAGCACTGCTGCAGAGCTTCCGGGTAGGAGAGTGGCAGGGAGGATGAGACTGTGCCCGAGAAGAGCTTCTTCCCTAGGCTAGGGAAGGCCTCCTCTCTGCGTCCCTTAAACACACATAGACTCCCAATTATTGTGCAGGTGAAAGATGGCCTTAAAAATACGGGTACACCAGGCACCGGAGCAGTTGTGTGCATCCCCGGTCAGGTACGTGTGGGATCTCCTGTCCGAGAGCCTCTTCCTGTCACAGGACAGTTTCCTGTGACTGGTGCTGCCCTGCACACTCTCCCTGCAGTGGCCCTGAGAGTTAGCTCTGCACCCACCCAGATGCCAGCAGCTCTTCAGTCTCAGACACAGGGCAGCATGAGCCACCCTGTCCCAGAATGTTGGCTCCAGAAGGGCCTGAGAAAGTTCCCAGGTCAACTGCCCCACTCTCAGATGAAAAGACCAAGGCTCAGAGAGGCTGAGGGATGTTTAATTCATCAGGTGGCTAAAAAGCAGGAACATTGGACCAAACAGTTAACCAAATGTGAGGCACTCATGTGTGCCTATTTCTACAGTGGCAAATGCCACTCTACCCTGTCCTAACCTTGGTCCCTTCCCGGCCCTGTGGCTCCCCTTCTCAGAGGGCTGAGTCCAGACCCTCTCACCTGCCACGCCATTGATCTGCCCATCACCACCAACAGCCCAGCGCCACCACCTGGCCAGATTGCCTGCTTCCCTTGCTCCCATTAAAGCTGCTTCAGCTGGACGCCGCAGCTCTTCTGGCTGACCGAAGGCACTACCGCTACCGTGAGCTGCTCTGGTCTGAACAGCAGGTAATTCTCCCCACTTCTCTCAGGATGCCCCTCCTTCACTCTGTTCCTTTCCCCTTTCCTTCAGCACTACCTAGGCCTTCTTTCTTCCTGTTTTAATAGTTGAAAAAGAAAGATTTTAAAAATTTTATTTCGTTGAGAGAATACCTAGTAAAGCAAAATATAGATTCCACGTGTACAATCAGAGACACTGATTACATTCTTCATGTTGTATAACTATCTGCACACTCTCTTTCTCATTAACAAGCTCATTGCCCCATAAGGTCACTATCTAATCTTTCAAATATGTATGGTCAATTTGGTCCCATAAAGATTGGTCTTCAAAAAAATGAGGAGCTGATACCAAGGGTTTAAGGGGAGAGCAAATGTTTTGAGAATGATGAGACAACGAATGTACATATGTGCTTGATACAATTGATATATGCATGGATTGTGATAAGAGTTGTATGAGCCCCCAATAAAATGATTTTTTTTTTAAATATTGGTCTTAAAATAGCCTAATGCCCAGGCAGGAAGTTTTTACTAGCTAAGTTGATCTTAAGAAGACTTCAGGGGATATTTTTCAGTTAAGGAGAAAAATACTTTAATATCAATCCAGATACAACTGAGCATACGTCTTTGCTACAATAACCAAATTTGACAAGTGATAGTTTCTTCAAGATTAGTTAAAATGAGTACTCACATCAATAAACTTTTTTTGTGTGCTATAACCTTAAAACCAGACTCTCCTTCACTTATAATGGCTTTTTAGTAACAACACGTGAAACTGTTTCAAATTTTGTAACATGAATTGGAAGATGTTGGTTCACTAAATAATGCATTAATTACTTCTAAATGATATTACTATCAAAAAAGCTCACATTTTAATGTTACCATCTATCTCATCTGAAGCCCTTATACTCACACTGTGACTTACTTTGCCCTTCCTTTTCCTTTCTCCCCCTGCTTCTATCCTTCCATTTCCCTCTCATATTGGGCTGCTAACCAATAGACAGCAGTTCGAAACCACCAGCCACTCTGTGGGAGAAAGACGAGGCTTTCTACTCCTGTAAAGAGTTATAGTCTCGGAAGCCCACAGGGGTAGTTCTACTCTGTCCTCTAGGGTCGCTTTTAGTCGGCATCAACTCAATGGCAGTGAGGTTTTTGTTTTTCGGAGAGGAGCGAGCATTTGGGAGAGTGGGAGAGGCTGGTGGGGCTCACAATGCGGAGAGACAGATCTGGCTCCATAGCACGTTGGGTCTTTGGACAATATCTCTGCTAGGAAGAGGTTCCTCTTTCTTTTGTAGGCACAGTTTCTCTGGAAGAAGATGCAGGTGCCCACCAAGCCAACCCTTAGAAATCTTCAGTGAGTAACGTGTGATGAGCAGTGAGTTTAATTCAACGAATACTTTTCTGAGCACTTATGAGATAAAGCATGTAAGGTACTTAACAGAGTGCCTGGCTTGATGCAAGCTCCCTATAGACATTTGCTGCTAATTTAATTCAGGGTGACTTCCAAGCTTCTGGTCAAGCAGGGATAAGCGGGAGTAAGAAGGCACCCACAGTAATAGAACTATTGGCTTCAGAACCTCAAGTTGTGGGGCTCTAGTCTCAGTTTATTGCTAATAAACTAATAATTTACACCTCCGAAAAGCAGCACTAATGTTGGGGTGAGCCAAATAAGAATACTTATATACTTATGTAAACGCATTTGCTCAAATTGTAAATTACTATCTGTAAGCATCTGCGCTTATTTTGAGAGCATCGACATCAAAGAGCAGACAGGCCGTGGCATGTGTTGAACTCCCACCCACCCGTCCACTCACAGGGCTCTAGGCACGCTGGCAGGGGGCATGTCCTGTGAGTTTCTGCAGCGGATCAACTCAATGGCAGACTTCATTGAAGTGGTGTATCTGATCTATCAACTGCCCACTGGGGTTCGAGGAAGTTTGGTGAGAGGAGATACTTGGGCATTAATGGGAGCAGGGAGGCAGGGTCCATGTTCAGCTCTGCCCTGAGCCTGCTTCTCCACCCTGTCCCACAGAGAATCTGTATCTGGGAGGAGCTACAGCGGAGAATGGCAATGCCGGAGCCAGAATTGACAACCCTGGGACCTGAGCTGAGTGAGCTGGACACCAGGCTACTCCTTGATCTACCGTAAGTGCTCAGGCAGAAGATCTTAGCTCTCAGAATGCCCAACTTGTGGTAGACTATCATCCCTTCCAAAGTGCTATAGAGGTGATGAGTTCCTGTTGATGGTTCCCTGAAATCATTTATAACCCAAACCAGAGGATTTGTTCAAAGTTGCTGTACATATGGACTGGCTTGTCAGAGTAAACCAGCCTCTAACAACCCAGGGGCTCGTAGGCGCGATTCTACCCTTATAATCTATAAAGATCCTAGTAAAGTCATGGAAGATAGGAGAGATAAGAGAGAGAATAAAAGAAGTCAGAAAAAAAAATAAATAAAAAAAATAAAATAAGTCAGATGCATTTCATGGTAGCATGCTCACCTCCGGGACAGCCATGATCTCAGCAGCCAGGTCTGCACAGAGAGCACAGGAGGAGAGAATATATTTCCAATCGTGGCACATATACACTTTCGGGGATGTTCAAGCTTCCCTGATTACACCATAAGAGGAAGGGATTATATAGTTGGCTTACGTCAATCGAAGGGGGACAAGCTAGGGGTGTATATGCAATCAGAAGGGGCGTCACTAGGAGTGCACGTGACAAGGTGGGCGACCTAGATTCAAGATGGTAGCCTAACCTTGGTCGTCCTTGAGTTGGCTTGACCTTGTCTCTGGGTTCTCTTTCAAGGAAACAATCCTTCTCAGCAGGGAGTGGGCCCCACCTAGGGTGGGACAGATAATAGTGTCTGATTGTCCTACATGGCTGTTGCCCTCAAGGAAAAAAACCTGCTAAGCCGTTTATTACCCACCATGTGTTAGCAAGCTGCAGACAACCTGGGGGAAAATCTTTTTGCATCTCATACTGGCTCTCGCAATTCTGTCCCCAGCATGGGGTAACTGAACATAACAACATGGCGATGGGACTGCCAAACAATCTTAAAGTAGCCTGGGAAACATTAGGAGAGTCTCTGAAACGAGGTAATGGTATGATTCTGTCCCAGAGGATGGTAGTCTGCTTAGGAGATTGCTCTCAATGTGTTCAGAGGTGCAGCTAAAAGAGAAAATGCACCCCAAAATGTGAACATACAGTAAGGGCCTTCAAATACCTGAGGGGGCCCTCAAGTAAGAAATAGATTGAATGTTTATGAGTGATCCCATTGCACATAACTAAAATAAATGGATGAACAGCGGATTCTTGTACAATATGTGGGAAATTTCCCATACTTGTAGCTATTCTTACTGAGCTTGATGACTCCATAGGGGGGATATTGTAAAGCAGATCCAAGTATGAGGTGGAAGCAAGAGAGACTTAGGTGAACCTAAGGCTCCATCCAGCCCAGAGATTCTAGGAGTTCATGAGCTGCTCACTCATACGCTTTTTCATTTTAGCCCCACCACCAATGCCATTGCCCTCTGACCTGTAAGTCAGAATAGGAAAAGATTTGGGTCACACCTTCCTGGGGATAGGAGGATGGAAAAGCCAGTTCATTGCAGCCTTACATTTTTCTATACCACTCCAGAGATTTTGGCTCTTGTACAGTTGACAATCCTAGATACGGGACAGGGTATGGATGGGTACAGTTTTTTTTTCAATGTCATTTAACTCCATTTAAGTGTGTTGATTAAGAATTTAGAATCTCAAGGACCATGATGAGTGGAAGATCCTGGACCACAGGTCAAAAGGTCTGAATTTCTAATTTGTGAAAAAAGGGGTACTAAAAGTGTAAAGGTGAAACTGAGGTACAGGGAGGACAGGCATAACTGACAGGACAAGGGAGAGCAGAAACAGAAAGAGCTGTATGAGGGGAAGCTCTGGGAAGAGGTTCCATGACTTGGGCCAACAGGTCAGGGAAGTCGTGCTTAGCAGCTGGGGGCGAGGGTTTTGAAAGGGGTGGTGAGGAATGTATGGCGATTATGGCAATTAGCTTTGTCCACTCCTTGAGGAGGCTTTCTTTGGACCCAGAGCATCTGGTTTCACTGGTTATCTTATCTGGTGGTTAGGTTATCTTATCTGGCGCTGTCTGCTGCTGACCTTTGGGATGTGCAGGGCCTGACCTGCTTCAGCTTAGTCCAAACAGGGCTGCCTAGTTCGGACCAGGCCTAAACAAAAAGTACCCCAATTAACCCACAAATGTTGTTTCAGTTCCTAAGACCATGGGAAATATGTGTCTTCTGATGGTCTTAGGCAGGCAACCCCTGTGAAAGGATCGCTCCACCCCCAAAGGGGCCTCGACCCACAGGTTGAGAACCTCTGCCTTCAGGTTTAGGCACTGTAAATCTTTCTGGAAACAGGCAGCCTTTCTCCCATGTAGCAGCTATTGGGTTTGAGCCACTGACCTTTCTGTTAGGTGCTGAATGCAACACCCATGGTGCCACCAGGGCTCCTTGTCAATGGTATAGCTCTACCCAGAAGAGAGGGAACTGCCTCACAGAGGAAAGACAGTACTGTGGAAGGAACGTTCATCGAGAATAAGGACCCAACTATTTGATCTCTTTGAAGCTCAAGAGTTCAGTCTACAAAGCGAGGAACATGCAATGCTGCTGCACAATCGAGCCTTTGAGTCGGCTAGATCACATAGAATTGTTTGCCATTTGTTTTTCTGGAAGACTAGCAAGATCTCAGTCCTTGGTTCTCTCCCTTTGGGCACCAAAGGTTAGACTAGGATCTGGGATTGTTTCATATCCGTGCCTGTGTAGACCCACAGGGTCAGGGTCAACATGACATCCTAGCTGAGAAATAGAAGGTTCTATAGCCCCTTCTTGACTTTGTTAGTTTCCTGAATGCCCTTTTTACCTGATTGCTATAGGATCCGCCTAATGGACAGATTGACCAATGAATCCATTATGTTAGTAGTCGATCTGGTACAAGGAGCCCCAGAGCAGCTGCTGGCACTGACCCCACCTCATCGAGCAGCCCTGGCAGAGAAAGCCCTGCAAAGCCTGGTAACTGTCCATCTTACCTGTGGGGTACCAGCCCCCACAATTGAATGGGTCTAAAGGGCGGTGGTGTAATTGAGGGGTAGAATTAAAGAGACATCAGACAAGATAAAGCATGCCAGTGCTCCTCTCTGGGATCGCGGTGATATCAGGAGTCAGGTCCATGCAGAGAGAGGGAATATATTTCCAAGCAAGGCTTATATACACTCAGGGGGTGTGCAAGCTCCCCTAATTACAGGTAACCACATATGTAAAACATACATAGCAAGATGGGCGGGCTCTAGAGTCAAAATGGCAACCTATCCTTGGTCATCTGTGAGTTGGCTTGACCTTAGGTGTCTGGGCTCGCCTTCAGGGAAACAATCCATTATCCTCATTAGAAGGGAGTAGGCTCTACAGATTATACTCTATAGCAGGCGTCCTCAAACTACGGCCCGCGGGCCACATGCGGCCCACTGAGGATATTTATCCGGCCTGCCGGGTGTTTTTGCCCCATTTTGTTTTTTACTTCAAAAGAAGATATGTGCAGTATGGGTAGGAATTTGTTCATAGTTTTCTTTAAAACTATAGTCCTGCCTTCCAACGGGTCTGAGGGACAGTGAACTGGCCCCCTGTTTAAAAAGTTTGAGGACCCCTGCTCTATAGGGTCTGATTGTTCTAGAAGGCTGATAACCTTCAGGCAGATAACCTTTAAGCAGTTGACCTCCAAGTACATCATCATTGACCACGTGATAGCAAGCAGCACATTAGGTTTGGCAAATGTTACGAGGGGACACCTGGGGAATAACTTTTCTGTCTCCCACACTTTCCAAATACAAACTTTCTGCCCTTGGCAATTCTTGCCCCTCTGTTGATGCCCTGAAATGGCCTTCTAGGCCCCAGCCCCTTCTTCTTGCTGCGAGCCAGGCTCTGCTCTCTACCCCTCAGATCTGCTTCTGGGTTATACTTACTCCTCAGTAGTCTGTTTCATACTCCCTGTTCTTACTCCTTGCTTTTCTACAAAATCTCTTGGATTGCTTTTTCTAGTCTTTCTGTCTGCTCTGGCCTGAGCCCACCATTTAAGAAAGAAAATCACGACCTAGGCCAGCACAGGGCCTTATGCTGAGAGTTAGAGGCAAGAGATGGTCAAGGGGACTTCGTGTCTTGATGGAAGCCTCTGGTACTCTGAGTCAGAGGTAGCATTGTCCTTATGCCCTTTCCCAGGCTCCAGGGGAGGCTCCGGTCTCAAGGGAAGTGCTGGACGCACTGGGCCCCTTGGTTGGATTCCTGGGGATAGAAAGCACACGGCGGATCCCTCTACAGACCTTGCTCTCCTGTCTCAGTCAGCTGCAGGACTACTGCCTGGGAGACTCATTTGCTACCGAGCTGGGATGGCTGCTGTTGCAGGAGCCTCTTCTTGGGTATGGATTTTTAGGAGTGTCACATTCTAACTCAGTCTGTCCCAAGCCCAACCGCTCAAACATTACCATCAGCGGCAGCTCCTTCCACTTGCTTGAGGTCCCTTGGGTCCCTGTGTCCTAAATCCTACCATGTCCTCTTACCCTTTTTCCTCCCAGTTCCCTTCATTTTCCAGCCCCTGGTCTTCTTTCTGTCTCCCAGGAAGCCAGAGTTGTGGAGCCAGGATGAAGTAGAACAAGTTGGACGCCTAGTCTTTACTCTCTCTACTGAGGCCATTTCCTTGATCCCCAGGGTAAGGTGCAGGAACAAGGGAGGGAGGAGGGACATACCCAGAGACTGGTGAGCTGGTTCTGGGGATCTAAGTCCATAGGGATTGCAGGAGGGGAAAAAAAGAATGTGCAGCCTGGAGCTGGGCGAGACTGCTAAACAGAGACAGACTTTTGGACTTAATAGCTGCCGTGCAGCACCTGATCCGGGTTTCCCATCCTGCCCTTCCCACATCATGCAGGAGATCCTGGGCCCAGAGACTCTGGAGCGACTGCTAGAGGAGCAGCAGAGCTGGGAGCAGAGCAGAGCTGGGCAGTTGTGTGGGGGCCCAGACCTGGCTCCCAAGAAAGCAGCCCTAGTATCTGGGGTTGTCCGGCCAGTGGCAGGAGATCTCCCAGGTAGTTCCCCCATCACCCAGACCTCCAGCAGGGTGTCCAAGAAAGAAGAGGCAACAGCACATGCCAGACTCTGGGTTCGCAGTGTGCCTTTGGAGATTTGCAACCCTTCTTTCTCTGTCTAGAAAAGAAAGGAGTTGGAAGGATGATCGCCAGCGTTTCTTCTAGTTCCAGCATTCTATAGTTCTGGGAGTTTTTGACCCATGTGCTTTTTGACCCAGAATGCTCCTTTTCTTATTCTCGTATCCCTGACAACAGATAGCACGGGTCTCATTCACTGCCATTGAGTCTTTGGGACCTGTATAGACCTGCCCTTGTGACTTTCTGAGGTTGTAACACTTTAGGGGAGCAGAAAGCCTCTCACCTTTCTCCTTCAGAGAGGCCGGTGGATTTAAACTGCTGATTTTGTAGTTAACAGCTGCACTATACCACCAGGGCTAACCTACTACCCTACTGATATAATCCACTATGCCACCCAGGGCTCCTTAGCTCAGGTCTAGGCTTGGCTAAACAAGGAATCCTTCCACTGGGGAGATGCTAGGATGTAGGAAGGAGCTAGAGATCTAGATTCTAATCCCAGCCCTGCTATCAAATTCCTGGGAAACATCTAGGCCTCAACCTTTGCACCTGTAAAACGAGGAACTTGTTCTCTTTAGTATGTTCTTGCTCTGCTATCCTTCAAGTCCTGTAAGTCTCACATTACAATAATCCCTCTAGTATGTTACCCACACTACCCCATCCACCAACGATTTGAGCGGTCATTCTAGAAGTGTTCTGTATATAAAAGGATTGATCTCAATCCGGGCATGTCAGCAGCACACTGACCCTCTGTGGCTCTCCTCTCCCTTTCAGAACCGGTGCCAAATTGTGCAGATATTCGGGGGACTTTTCCAGCAGCCTGGTCTGCAACCCAGATCGCAGAGATGGAGCTCGCAGACTTTGAGGACTGCCTGGCACTCTTTGCAGCAGACCCAGGACTTGGGCCTGAGGAACTACAGGCAGCCATGGGCAAGGCCAAGCAGGTTGGGGATGAAGAAATCAAGTGAGATTGGAGATGGAAAAACAAAAATCTAGCTGGGGGTGATATGGGACACAGGGAGTAGAGAATTGGTGAAAGGAAGGGAGAAATGGGAAATAAAGAATTAGATTGTATAGCACGTCGGAAGAAAGCGGATGACTATTGAGGAAAGGGAGCCGGTACAATGGGTAGAGCGATGAGAGGTTAGTAAATTTGAGTGTAAATCAGTCACCCTGGGGAGCAGGTTTTTAAAATGCTGGGTGCAAGGTCCTATGTTAGACTGGCTGAGTAAGAATCTCTGGGCATGGGCCCTGGGCACCTGCTTTGGAATCGGACCCCATCGTGAGTCTGGTGCCCAGCAAGTTTAGAACTCATGGACTGGTGAACTTTTGCTGTTCTTTTCTACTGAGATCCTACAGTCTTGTGATAACACTGTGAGTAACCTACTTATTTTACAGTTGAAGAAACAAAAGAGCCAGAGAAGGCAAGTGATTTGCCTAGCGTTATACAGCAAAGGTCAGAGGCCAACCGAGCCTCAGCAGGTTGACTCCCTAGTCTAGTGCCTTTTCCCTTCGCATCGTTCCTCTATTTCTCCTAGTTGTGGGGCGCCCCCCGAGGATTCCGTCCGGAGCAGATCCTGCAGCTGGGTCGGCTCTTAATAGGATTAGGAGATCGGGAACTCCAAGAGCTGACCCTGGTGGACTGGGGAGTGCTGAGCACCCTGGGACAGCTAGATGGCTGGAGCTCCGCCCAGGTGACACCTCGCTTCCTCCCTAGATTTCCCCCAAAGCACCTACCTGATAGACCAGTGGTTCGCAACCTTCCTAATGCTGAGACCCTTTCATACAGTTCCTCATGTTGTGGTGACCCCCCCCAACCATAACATTATTTTTGTTGCTACTTCATAACTGTCATTTTTCTACTGTTATGAATCAGGTGACCCCTGTGAAAGGGTCGTTTGACCCCCAAAGGGGTCAAGACCCACAGGTTGAGAACCATGGCCATACACTATGCCTCCAGGCCACCTGGAGATTGAGGAATTTTTTCTTGTGACCCTACCTGGCCATTCTTTCTATCCTAACACCCTATTCTAGTAACCTGAGGGACTATAATTTACTCACACTGAGGCCCTGTGCACATACTTCCTCTTGCCTCCTGAATGTTTTGTCTTTCACCTTCCCCATAGCTATTGGATCTTCAGGCCTTAATACTATACATCCAGTAGCATCTATCCATTCTCTGACCTCTCCCCCTTCCATGAACTCCCTGTGATATTTCTTCCTGTCTTGTGGATTTTCCTTGCCACCCACACCTGCAGCTGCGGATCGTGGTCTCCAGTTTCCTGCGGCAAAGTGGCCGGCACGTGAGCCAACTGGACTTCATTCACTTGACGGCGCTGGGTTACACCCTCTGTGGACTGCGGCCAGAGGAGCTACAGCTTATCAGCAGTTGGGAATTTAGGTCACGTGTGGAGGGGGGTGCGAGTGGTGGTGATCTAGAGGTAGTGATCACACAGAGAGGGTCATGAAGGGGCCGTGGAAGAGATTCATTGGAAGCCTGGTTTAGATCTATTGTCCTATCACTGAAGCTGAATTCTTCTCCACAGTCAAGCAGCCTTATTCCTGGGCCACCTGCCTCTCCAGTGCTCTGAGGAGCAACTAGAAGTGCTGGCCCAGCTCCTTGTACTGCCTGGTGGCTTCGGTCCAGTCAGTAACTGGGGTCCGGAGATCTTCACTGAAGTTGGCACAATAGCAGGTGGAAAGTCTGGGACACGGCTGGTACTAGCCGGCGGGGATTGGTCCCCCTAGGAGGGGGGTGGATTAGATGGAGATAATTAAGGTGGCGGGCTCTGAGGAAAGGTGTACTTCAGAAGTTGGGGACATGCTAGGAAGGTCTGTGGATAGGGTGCTTTGGGAGTAATTAAAAGAGGTTTCTCAGTTTGAAGAAAGAGGAGGCCAGATAAGATATGGATGTCTACTTCAACAGCTGGGATCCCAGACCTGGCGATTTCAGCACTGCTGCGAGGGCAGATCCAAGGTCTAACTCCACTTGCCATTTCTGTCATCCCTGCTCCTAAATTTGCTGTACGTACTGATGAACTTAGGTCTAGGGTGAACTCAGGATAAGCCAGGGCCTAGTGGCGACTCCAGTGGATGTACTGATTCCTGTCCCTTCCTCCAGGTGGTATTCAGTCCCACACAGTTATCTAGTCTCACCAGTGTCCAAGCTGTCTCCGTCACCCCTGAGCAAATGGCCTTTTTGAGTCCTGAGCAGCGACAAGCTGTTGCATGGGCCCAGCATGAGGGGAAGGAAAGCCCAGAACATCAGGGTGAGCTCCCAATTGCAACTGAGACCCTCCACCGTCTGAACTAGAATATGACCCCAGCTTGGTGCTGTCCGACTTCAACTCTACTCAAGGGAGATCCTTGAAAGTGAAGAGCTACTTTTCAGGGGCCAATGGCTTCTGTGGAGCAGAGTTGTGACATTTCTCTTTTCCCTCATCTCACTATAGGTCGAAGTACAGCCTCCGGCCTCCAGGACTGGCCACAGCTCTCCTGGGCCTTAGCATCGACCATATACCTCCGTGGCCAACTCTTCTGAAACTATCCATATTAAGGAGGAAGACTGTTGGGAGAGAAATTTTAAGTCATAACTAATAAAGTGCAAATGGAAGTGTCTCCTAATTATTCTCAGGAGGTTAAAGAGGAATATGGGTAAAATGCTAATTTCGCCACCCACCTGAGACTCAGTGTTCCTGGCAGTCGATATCTGGAGTCTCTTTCCATCACAAATAACCCCTCCTTTTCCTCTCCTGGAAGGCTGTTCCCTCCTGACTTCATCAGAAATAACCATGGCAACATTATGTACCAATGCGCTTGATACAATTGATGTATGAATTGTTATGAGCTGTAAGAGCCCCCAATAAAATGATTTATTAAAATGAAGAAAGAACAGACAACTGGGCTGTAGCAAGGAGTCTTTACTAGGATAGAAGCAAGTCTGGGACAAATAGGATTGGCCATCATTATAATGTGCAGAAGTCCCAGGGATCTTGAGTGATCTGTTAGCAAGGAGGAGTTAATGCTTGCTGTGCACGAGAGGTGGAGGGATGCGGATATCCTGGCCTCTTTCCAGTCGTCTCTCACAGTCAATCAAATAGTTTACTCCATCAATGACCAGTTGCACTAGCTCCACCTGAAGAACACAACACATACCTTTGATTTGATTTCTGGTTCCCATAATCTAGTGTTTCTTTAACATTGCCTTTCTCACACTGGGAACTCACTGCCAGTGGCCTCCCTGCTCATTTTAGATTCTATTATGTTCCTTAAACTCATTCTCTCCTATCTCAGCCCCTCCACCCCCACCCCGCCTCCCCCTGCTTTCTAATCTCCAAGGATCTCACCTCTGACTTTCCCAGTCGATCCAAGTTAGAGATGTCAAAGGTGCTGCCTGTGGCAGCTGTGTCCACTCCTCCAGTACCCCGCTTTTGAAGTCTAAGGTTCTCCAGGATCTTTGGGAAGCGATTATCCTAGGAGACACAGATGGAGCTTAGGGTTAATAGAAGCAGAGGCTGGCCCCACCTGAGAGTCCTAGAGCTGCACAGAACCACTCTTCCTCCGGACCTTTTCCTTTCGCCTGTTCCAAAGTGCCCACCCCTCACCCTCCACAACCACCCACCCATCCCCTTCTTCAACCCTACAATTCACTTACTTTGCTGAGCAAGGGCAGCTTGATATGCACTCCAGCCCGCAGTCCAGTGCCCAGGTTGGAGGGACAAGTCAAGATGTATCCCAAACGCTCATTCCACATGAACTCCCAGCCACGCTCCTGGATCAGCCGCTCCACCTGAGGCCACAAAGGCTGTTAGTGAAACTCGGGGATATGTGGACCCTCCCCTTAGCTAGAGCACAGGTATTCTTTTCATATCTAGGGCTAGAAACTTGAGGGTCTGAGAAGGCTGCTTTTTCTTGGTGGAAATAGTTTTTTATTGTTATAATACATGCAAGGTAAATTTAATGGCACATGTCAGTTGTATGTGGAGGGGAAAGGAGAAGCTTGAGACAGGGATGCATTAAGGTGGGATTGTAGGGGCATAGTGGAGGTGGCAAATGGAACAGAGAAAAGATTCATTATTCAAAGAGTTCTGAAAGTATGGGCCTTATAAGGGAGGCCTCCATTAGTTGTTGAGAGTACATTGAGAAAGGGGAAAACAGAGCATAAAGGCCAAAGGCTTGCAGGTGTGTGTGACATTCTAACCATGAACATGACTATTAGAACTGAAGAGAGTGATTGACAGGAAGACCACAATCCAACCCGAGTAAACCCATCTGGAATAAGAGTCATAACAACTAATCCTAATTGAGGACTTACTATGGCCGGGTCCTCTGCCAAGTACTTTACATGCATCATTCCATTTCATCCCCATAACAACCTAGAGTTGGAAACCTTATCATCCCAATTTTACAGACAAGGAAGCAGATGCAGAGCTACTAGGCTTCTTTGGGGAGGTACATTAGAATCTTGACTACATCATTCTCTCAACCCCTGGTCAAGCCAGAATGAAACATTCTCCTGTGTGCATACGTCACCCTCATACAACACCCACAGACAGTGATCCACGACCTCAAATCAGTTACTCCTACTTGGCACCTGCTTGCTCTATTTATGCCTCCTTATGTTCTCGGTATCCTTCCTTTCCTCCTATCTTAGGGTGACCATGTGTCCTGATTTGTCCAGCTAAGCCTTGGTTTATATCCGTTGTCCTGTGGTCATTAATGGCATTCCCTTCTGCTCTCTGAAGTGCCCAAGATTGGCTGAAAAAACACACGGTTCATTCAGTCCTCGCTAGTCTTTTGTTTTCTTTATGTCTTCCCACCCGGCTCCCCTGGTCCAACCTCCTTGAGGCCTCGGCAGAATCTTTCAAACACTCTCTTCATGTTGCCCCCCTTCTCCATGGAGATGACCCGTGTATGATCCTCTTCATTCACCCAGATCAAAAAGCTCTTCTCATTGTTGTGCCTGAGAGAAGGAGGAGGGACGGGGGTCAAAGGGCAGGGCACACACTGGGGGAGACATAGAAAAGCAGCATTGATGGGGGGATGAGGACAAAAGCAGCAGCAGCCTCCTACCAGATTCCACGAGCATCTGGCCAGTCTCGAGCCATTCCTGCTGCGGTCAGCAAGGGGGACACAGGCTTATCAAACAGAAAGTGGTCCTAGGCAGAGCAAAAAGGGCCTGGGTTAAGAATCCTAATGCCCCCGGCCTTTCAGAGTCCATCCACCTCATCTGGTCCCGCCTCCCTGGCTCATCTTTGCATCGGTTCCCCTGACCCAGGTCCCACTTAAGGACCCTCACATCAATGAGCTGCTGCTGTTCAGCCTCTGTCATCTCACTGAGCCGATAGTAACGTCCAGTCAGATCTCCCTTCAGGCCACTCAGTGCGTCGACCACAACACGTTCCACTTCTCGCCGCTCGGCCCGAGTGCAGGCTGGAGGCAGGCTAAGTCCTCGGATACTGCGGCCCGTTCTGACTCTCGAGGACAAGACGTACCTCTCATCAAAGTTGCCAGAACGAATCTGGAAGGCAAGGGACATTAATGCAAGTCACAGAAACACAGTAGGCGGAACTTGGATCCCTGGGGAAATATAGGCGGATGGATTGTGATAAGAATTGTATGAGCCCCTAATAAAATGACTTTAAAAAAAAAGAAACGTCAAAAACAAACAAACAAAAAAAGAAATAGATGAATTGCGTCTGATTCTATTACTTGACTCCATCCTTTAAAAAAAAAAAAAGAAAAGAAAGAAAGGCGGATGGAGAGACCCCAGGGCTTACAGGACTCCTTGCTGCTTATGCTGAGCATGCATGACAAAGGGGTCTCACTGGGCAAGTCTTCCAAGGGAAGTGGGGGGAGGGGGCATTGTGGACCTTCTTTCAAATTGCCTGCTTTTGGACATGACCATTCTCATCCACCTTCTCCCCATATCTGCTGTTCCTTAAGATATGATTCTTTCCCCACACCAAGATTAAAGCCTCAGCAGTATGATGACCATGAGTCAGGAAATAATCACGGTGAAGTGTTTGGCATACCTTGGTGGCATCCAGGTCTGTAGGGTGCTTCATTGTCCGGGGGTTATAGCCATTGTGTCGTTCTTCGATTACAGGGTCAAACAGCTCAGCAAATATCTGAGGGGGGTGTTAGAGAGGAGAAGATATTTAAGGAGAGGGGATCCCTCCCCAGGCTTCTGATTTGGATTGACATCACTGGGTCGCAAAACTTGATTGTGGATGGCCCAGCATCTAGCTGGGAGGAAGTGGAGGATCTTTGTGGGGGAAGGATCTGGGATCACTGGGGAGACAAATTGGGTCACCAGGGAGACTCTGGGGCCCCCCTACCTCATAGGTCTCCTCATCTCCAGCCACCATGCCTACAGTCTTGATGAAGGGGTGGCCAGGGTTGTCCACGCCAGTCTGGATACACTGATCCAGCGTCCAACCAGTGGGTGTGGTCTTGTCGCAGAGCCGGGCATAGACTGCTGGGGTCAGGTGACTGGCCATGCAGTTGTTGTGCTTTCGAAGGTCTGGGTACTCAGCGCTGGGGAGGGGGTACCCAGTAACCATGGGGGGAGGACACAGGGGGCCTGTAGTCAGTTCAGCTGGCTGGGAGCTGTCCTGTCAGCTTCTCTGGCTTTGCTCCTTGTCGGGAGGGGGGATTAGGGAAGGCTCAACCGTGGTAATCTCTTTAGAAACTTCAGGGTCTGTCCCTCCCCAACAGTTTTAGCTGCCTCTGACTGACTGGCTCCCTTCTCCCGGATCTGTTCAGTGGTTTCCTCCCATGAACACGACCTCAGTAAGACGGCGGGGGAGGAGAAAGCTTAAGGAAGGGAAATGAGGGAAAGCAAGCAGGGAAAGGAGATGGGGGGCGGGGAGCGAATCGGATAGTTCGGGAATGTGGGCAAGAGTGGGTGCAGCCAGAACTCCCAGGACCGTAGCTGTTCCTGGGAACGGGATCCTCTGGTTACAGGTTTTCAGGGATGCGTTTACCTTACGGGTTTGGACCCCACCCTCTCCTCACTGAGGTCTCCAGACTGTGCAGTCCCCAAATTACAGGGCCCCGGGTGATGATTGCCGGGCTCCTTCATCTCCACCCCACTTTCGTTCTCATGACCCCCCCTACCCCCAGGCCCAGCGCCTCTGACACGCATACCTCGGAGGATAGAGCCTCCGTCGTTCAACAGCGGCTCGCACAGGTTCCGGGCGAAGCAGAAACCCGGCGGCTAGAGATCCAGCTCCGGCCAAAGCCACAAACTTGAGCCCTGGGCGGGCAGACAGCAGGCGGGAGAAGGGACCAGCCATGCCTGGAGGCTCGGACGATGGGGGTTCCCGGCTCGGACGATGGGGGTTCCCGAAGCAGATGCGGGCACAGGGCAGGGACACGGCGGGAGGATGCAACCTGGTGGGCCGAGGGCCGGAGGAGATCCGAGGCTGCAGCCGAAACGGGGGCCGGAGTGGGAGCGGGAGACGGTACCAACCAGACTGCAGGAGAGGCGCAATGAGCGAGCTGCTGGCAGGCGGGCGGAGGAGAGGGAGGCAGAGCCGCAGTCCCCAGGGGTGGGGCTCACGCAGGCTCCGCCTCCCGCCTGCCAGTGTCGGAGGTATGCGGGGGCAAGGGGGGCAGCTCCAGCTAGGTGATGGAGGGGACTCCGGAGACGCCCGGGGCCCACCTGAGATGAGGCCACCCAGATTTCAGCACCAAGTGAAGGACAGCACTTAAGGGGCCCGCGGAAACCGGATCACAACCCCCCACCCCCAATCCTCTCGATTTAATTGGAAACTGGAGCCCTCTACTCTGGGTGTGAAAGGGTGGCATTGCCCAAGCGCTTCTCTGCTTTCAGCCTGCCCCAGCAACCCCTCCGAGGTCCCAGGGGAGGCAGCCGCGGAGAAACCGCGGAATACACAGGAGACCAGAGGGAGACGTTGAGAAAGCTCAGGGTTAGCTAGAGGCAGGCACCGGGAGCGACACCCACTCGGCTCAAGGTCACCCTGGCCTTGGAACCAGGAAGGGGACCAAGGCACCCCCTCGCCACACTGCTCTCCTTTTACAAGGTTGGGGGAAGATTCCTTGAGAGGAGCCCGGGAAACACTATGGTCTCCCTAACCTCATCTCTGGCCCCTACCCCTCGCCCTACCCCCCACTGCCCCACGTCTGAAGCTCTGTCCCTTCCTGCTTCCTCCTCTCCCCATAATCCTTCCCCCACCCCCCAGGCACACACTTTTGTTACCCCCCACACTCGCTAACTCATCCATAAGTCACCTCCGATCTTTTACTTCTCCTTGACGTCCTCCCCGGGCTCAGACCTGCGTGCTGCTCCAGTCACAGGACTCCCACTGAGCATTCTTTTAAAACCGGCTTATCTGTTGGGGCGTGGGACAGGGGTTGGGCAAGGAATAGCTAGCTTCCTCATCCTACCCCCACCCCCTTTTCGCCCTCCCTTTCTGCGGCTCCCAGTTCCTGAACCGAGGAAAGTACAATAAGGTGAAGTGAAGGGTGTGGTGAAATGACTGGGTGCGGAACGGGAACAGGTAGGCACAGGTCTCCAGGCACCACGTGTAAGTCCCTTCCTTGCTTGGCTCTCTAATGTTTAATCCTGAGCCCAAAGCAGACTGGGTGCAAGGGCATGGCGTCACCAAGAACTTCTGCTTTCCTCCTGGTCCTTCCTCCCTCTGCCCTCAGATTTGAGAGGGCTTCTTCCATACCACTCCAAGTGTGGCCTGGGTCTGATTTTTATCCTGGAAGGAAGGAGAGTGCATTCTGGAGATATAGGCTTTGGTTTCTTCTTTCAACTATCCTGGAATACCCGCAAGACAGTAAGGTACTTGGAAATCTTCCAAGAGAGTATTTGGGAAGGAGACATTCCCTTCCTGTCATCCTTTGACCCCACTGATGTGACCTCACCCCACCCCCCATATTCTCATTTCTTTTGTTCTCAGAGTTCTCTGTGTCCCTTTCCTGCCTTCCCCATTCATGTGCACTGGGTACAGCATTAACTCGGTTAAGAGAGTGGTTTATCAGAAAATAGGTAAAATTCTATGGTTGGAATGTGGCCACTCAGAGAGAAAGAGATGTTATCTGTGTTGTTGGGCTGGTTATCTAGGTGGAGTAGCTATGCGTAAGTGAATGTAATGACACGAATTGGTGTATATTTACCCAGCCAAAGGAAGGAGATAAATTTCCAGAGCAGTAGGGCTGTCGTTTGATTGAGAGGGTGGTCACTAAGATTAAAGTGGTGGGGGATCCAGGAGTGTGGAGGGAGGGAGAAAGGGGGAACAGATTACAAGGATCTACATATAACCTCCTCTCTGGGGGACAGACAAGGGAGAAGTGGGTGAAGGGATATGTCAGATGGTGTAAGATATGAAAAAATAATAAAAATTTGTAAATTATTAAGGGTTCTGAGGGAGGGGGCAGCAGGGATGGAGGGGGAAAATGAGGAGCTGATACCAAGGGCTCAAGTAGAAAGCAAATGCTTTGAGAATGATGATGCAACGTATGTACAAATGGGCTTGACACAATGGATGGATGTGTGGATTGTGATAAGAGTTGTAGGAGCCCCCAATAAAATGATTTTTAAAAAGTGGTGGGGGATGGAAAAGAGAATAATCAAAAGAGAAATAAGACTTGCCCAGAGAAAAGAGATATTATTTAGGTTTAGAGAGTAGCTGTCAGAATCTGAATAATAGCTCCATTAAAGAAATGCAGGTATTTTTGTACTGCTCTTAGTAGCCTTTCAACTGTGAGACTCTGACAGGCACATACTGCAACAACATTCATTAAAAGAAAAAAAGGGGAAATAAACCTATCCAACAACATATAGGAAGTAATAATATGGTATTTAATTGATTTAATAGCAATAATTATGGATAATAATATTTTAATTTTTTAAAGAACTTTGCAATTAGAGAAAATATCTCTAAATATGAAGGAGCCCTGGTGGTGTAGTGGGCTACACAAGATCGGTCTTTCTTTTTTTTTTTTTTTTT